GCTCCGTTACATCGGCCCCGCTATGGCCATTGTACCACCGTGCCACCGCCACCAGTTCAGTGGTGACGGCCGCCCAGGGCAGAGGCAGAGAGGTGTGACTGGAGCTGAGCGCGGGGCCAAGTTTCACCCCCGCTTCTATTCCCCAGCTTGTCCCGCAGACCCAGCTGGGGTCTCAGCTCAGCAGCCAGCGCGTCAGGGAGGCCGGCGGGCAGGACGCGGGGTGAGTAGGAACCCAGAGGAAGGGGCTGGGGAGCTTCCCTCTTCTTCCTCCCCTCTAACCACTCCCACCACCCACAGGCGGCCGAGCAGCCGAGGCAGCAGGGACAGCACAGGGACACACGGATGCACAGGCGAGGCCCGGCAGCGAGCTCCCAGCAGCCAGCGGCCAAAGGCGCCCTTGGCAGAGTCTGCGTGCAAGGTCGGACCCTGCCTCTCGCTCCCAGCTGAGGGCCTGGTGCTCAGCCCCGCCGAGCCAAGAGGGAGAGGCAGAGCACCCCCTCTCTCCTCTCACCGCACCGGTAGCCACCGCAAATAAACGCTTACGAGACTAACGCAGAAACGAAGCATTCAATGAGCAGCCACCTGCCCTGCCCCACGGGACCTTGTTACTTCTTCTTTGTGCGTCACGAAGGTGCATTCCCTTGGGAAACCCAGTCTCTCTGCCCATCCCGTTGAGCCTGCACATGGTGGGCGTAGGAAGCCTGGGGAGACGGTCCCGCAGCACCTTTGCCACGGCTCAGCTACCAGCCAGCCTCCGGCTGTTGCTTCACTTTGTTTTCTGCAGGACCGTGGCACCGAACGGGTCTGTGCAGTTTCCCCTGTTGTCCCTCCCCGCTGGGCAACGCTGTGGTTTCTTGGTAAAACCGAGGGTGACGGCGCAGAGGGCTGGGCTGGTGTGTCCTCTTCTCCCTCAGCACAGCGGCCCCAGGAGAAGCCCTGGTGCAAGGGCTGGGGCTGGCTTTCCCCAGCAGGCACCAGGGAACTGACCCGCACGCAGGCGAGGAGCCCTCGGAACGGGGGGAAACACTCCCCGGGTGTGCGGAGCGGCCCCTGCACGGTCAGCTGAGGGGGGCCAGGGACATTCCTGGGCTCTGGAGCTTGGTCGCCCACGGCTAAGCTGCTGCTGGAGTCCCTGGCACAGCTCTT